CTACAGACTATGTCTCCGGCGCTCCCTTATGGTATATATAATTTTCCCTCCACCTACTGTAAGAGGTTGGTGCTGTGTGCAGCCAAGTCAGAACTAATTCATAGCTGACCCTCCAGTGGGATTTAAAGGCAATACATCATACACGAGGAGAATGCTCACCCTTCTCCAGGGAGCAACTGGTGGATTTGTACTGTGTGCCTTTGAGACTGCAGTGCAGCTTCTCAGCACCACCGAAGCTCCCTACTTTTAAAGATAGTGAAATTAAATCAGAGAAGTTAAATCAATTGTCTAGGGTCACACTATTAAGTTAGAGAAAACAAAGGAGGATCAGAGGTAATACTAAACTTAACTCACTAGTATCTTGTTTCCCTGATAACCCCAAAAAAGTTACCATAACTAAACAATAAACAACAGTATTAAGAAGCAGAATGTCTGAAAAATTTCAACTAATAAGGCATAAAAGCCTTATTAGTTTTTAACTTGTTACAACTACCTCCTGACACTATTTACAAACCATCTAGAAAGTAAGTTTATCTCAGGTGTTGGGTTTTTTTATGGTGTTTGTAAACTATTATTATTTTAATTTCATTTTACATCCAGTTTCTAGCCTAAAGTTCTTTTTACTCTAAGATTTTACTGCATTATGGGTGGATGTTTATAGTGAACCAGTTTCCCCTTTAACACTTTTTTTTTAAAAAAATTATTTTTAATTGAGATTTTAATGAAAATTTATAAACAACTTGGGTTACCAATCCTTCTTTGTTGCACATTTTCCTCCTTCTCTCCCCTCCCCCTCAGGTAACATTTTTCTTTGGAAAAAAGTTCGTTATACAGTGTCCTGCCCCAGAACACTTTACTATTGCAGCTCTTCTGACTCTTGTCATGCCAATAATACCTAACCATATATTCCTTTTATACAGCTCTCCCTTGTTTATTTCAATACTGTGTGCATTATTTATTCCCTCTTTACTTAGTTTCCCTCCAACCATTATTTCATGACATTGGTTGTAGTTTTCACAAGGTGTAAGCATCGTTCTGTTGCTTTTATTTCCATTGATCTAGCACCTCTTCCTTTGTCTTCTCACATCTTTGCCTTTGGGTACATGCTGACCATTTGTTTTCATGGAGTTAATGATTCAAGGGCCAAATTGCACACATGTGATAATGTATATTTCATCATTATGTATATACATATGTATATTATGTATATTTCATAATCCACTCTGTTGTTAGACTGAAACCAGGAGCAGTGTCAATTCTAAAAGGGTATCTAAGGGTAACAAGTCTCAGGGTTTCTCTAGTCTCTACCAATGCAGTAGGTCTGGTCTTTCTTGAAAATGAATCTGCGTTTTGTTCCAAATTTTCCTTCCATTTCCCTAAGTCTTTAAATTGTCTCTAGTCAGAATGGTCAATAGTGGTAGTGAGGCACTAAGCCACCATTTAGTTCTTCTAGTCTCTAATTAGAAAAGGCCATGTTTATATGAATTAGTTTCTACACTGAATCTTTGTTTCAGTCTTGCTTTTTTTAATGCTAGATGGATAGTGACAACTCATTTTAGATGGTTCATCAAAATCATTTAGAGCCCTGGAACTCCTGGCCAAACTAGGGTATAGAACATTAACTTTATGAACTATGTTGTAACAATTAACATAGTTATCCCAAAAGGGTAGAGTTGTAAGCCCTTCAGACCAATTCCATGAGTGTCTAGGATATCACCATAAGTATATCACCAACGTGCTTTATGAACTCACTCACTGCTACGGAGTTGATTTAAAATTCATACCAACTTTAGAGGACAGTGTCAAACTGCCGGCAGTGTTTCCAAGGTTATAAATCTTTATGGAAGCAGACTGCTTCACCTCTCAGAGTGTCTGGTGGGTTCAAACTGTTGATCTCTTGGTTAAGAAGCTGAATACCTTAATCAAAGTGTCACCAGAGATGCAGCCTACACAAACATGTATTTATATACTTCCCTAGAGCTCTGGTGGTGTAGTGCATAGACTGCTAACCAAAAGGTCAGACATTTGAATCCATCAGCTGCTCCATAGGATACTATTAAGAATTTTCTCCTTTAAGATTTATAGACTTAGAAACTCAATGGAAGGTTGCTATGAGTTTGCATCAACTTAACAGCAGTGTGACAGGATAGATGGATAATAGATTTTGTACCTACATGAGATAAAGTACACTCATGTATGACTTCCTATAGACAGATACGAATACACTTCTACCTATGTAATCACATTTTTTTTTTTTTTAGTTTTTACTACTGCTGCATCAGGATTGTTTTTAAAAGCAACATTTCCTCAAATATGTATACAACAGAATCCTAAAAGTAATGTGGAAACTCAAACCTGTTTATTGAGTTCATTTTATTTATGAGATAAAAGTTCTTTATTTTTTTCCTATAGGATTATACTATATATCATAAAGGTTATTAAACCAACATTGTGTTTGAGAATGACTATTACACAACCTCACAGTTTCTCTATTCCTATATCAATCATGTATATACATTTTCCAAATGTCTTAACTATAAGTGAAAAGTCTTAAGTAACTCTTATTTTACTACTTGTTTTTCTAAGCCAGTTTCCCACATTGTGGAGAAATGAATACTGTTATGGGATTCAAGAGACTGAAATTTCTACATCTAGGATCCAAAATAAACTTGCTTTGGGGCCTAGATTGTTAGTAAAATTTTACAGTTACTGAAAAATTTCAAGTCTCACCCCCATTCCCCAGTCTAAAACTCTATGATAGGAAAATACAGTAAGTCTCTGGATTATGAATGACTGAAGGGCAATGTGTAGAAGATATTTTCCATGTATTTCTGAGTTTGTCAGTCATATAGGAAGTAACTACCTTTCTTCCTCAGAACTTCTAGTGGATTTGAACCAGAGGACTCAGCCTTAGTCTGTGCAGAGTTAGCAGTCCCAACTCTGTACAGACTAGATCATTAGAACTCATTTGCCCTTTAATGTATATTTGTCTTCACTCTGAAACCAATCCCTGTTTACAACAAATTCTTCATCACTATTACCTTCATTTCTTGTATGTGCAGCTTTTAACATCACTGAAAAGCATTCCTTCTACTTCTAACACCAGAAGACTAAAGAAGAGCCATCCATATCTGTTCTCATTTTCCATTTATGAATGAATCTAGTTCTTGTAAGGTTACTTTCAATGATGATTTATTTGCATCTTTTAAAAGAAGCCTTGCCTTCTTAAATCATAATCCTATTTCACTTAATTAGACTTAGATATATACTTCAAAAGGTGACATCTAATTTTCTTTCTCTAATGGACATTTACTATTTTTCCTAGATAGATTTGTCAAAAAGTATGATATAAATAATATATAACTAAAGGAAATACATTTTTATGCTATATTCCATTTAACATTTCTATTTAAAAAGAGCCTATTATAAATTTAAATATAAGAAAACCTTGGATTTGCTTAAATAATTAAAAAACTATTACACATGTAGTTCTTTATACTTCAGTCAGAAAACATTTTAATGTATCAAAAGTAGCTAACATGTTAAATTCAATGTTTGACAGAGGGTTAAAAACAATGTTTTAAAATTTACCCATAATTGACAGTAATGAACAAAATACATTCCCCTCCTCCCATTATTAGTTCTGCCAAACCCAGCAGCCTCTGTGCTCCCCGGGGTGGGGTGTCCCACCATTTAAAAACTGCTACCATTTTCCCAAAGGATGGTACAGGATGGGACCAGGTTCAGATCTGCTATTCTAAGGGTTGCTAAAAGTCACAGTTAGTTAATTCAATGGCACATAAAGAACTCTAAACAACCAGTTCCCCTGAAGGAGCAATGGCTATGTATCAATGAAGACTTTGAAAGAAATATTTTCCTATTATTCCCAGAACCCAAATTTCCTATGTAACAGAGAAACATATCTATACAAACTCTTGTTGTCGTTGTATACCACTGACTTGTAACTGACCCATAGTTGACCCTCCAGTGGGTTTTCAGAGGCAGTTAATCACCTGCAAGCAAAGCAGCTGGTGGATTTGAACCGTGTGCCTTTGAGTTGACAATGCAACTCCTTACCAATAAGCCACCAGAGCGCCCCAATAATCTCTAACACTACCAAAATCCATTTTCTCCTCAAATCAAGGAACCTCTAACCCTGAACATATAAAAGGCTGTAAGTTACATGTGTTAGTTTATCTCTCCACATGATTATAGGAAGGGGAAACAATAAAACTCACAGTAAGTCAGTATTTATAGAACAATGAATCAATAAAAATTTCATGTGTAAGCTACCCTTGACAGCCATAAACAAAGATTTTATTTCAATAGATTGCTTTAATAACTTCCCTATGAAGAGAGATTTGTTCAAGTAAATAATATACTTTAGTGTAATGAACAGGTAGCTTAGTATATACAAATTAAACAGAAAACAAAAATAATTTCTTGACTGCTTAATGATATTATGGTATTCATACCTGCCTTTCAAACCTCAAGGACCTACCATTATAATTTTTTTCCATTATTAAAAAAAAAGTTTGCTAACACATAATTGTACACGTAAAAACTGGTGAACTGGCAAATGTTAGAGCATATATATGTATTATTTACTACAATAATAAATCTAATGTCATGTTTGAAACCACTTAAAGATTTGTTGGAAAATGTACAGTAGGCTAAATGATAGGAAACTATCAACACTTTTAATTACAAAAATTGTCCATCACCCCAAAATAACAACAGTTTAAAGTAAAAATTTCCAAAAGTAAGTAAAAAGCTAATCTGATTATTGTTGGAATTTTAATTGTTATACTTTTAATATTAGGATGGGCAAATTAAATGCTCAAAACATTTTGTGTTTTCAGAGCGAGTAAAAAGTAAGCATGAGAACATGTGCCAGTCACTTCCTATCAAGTCACACTTCTCACTCATGCTAATGAAACAAGAATAAAAACCCCAAATAAATTAGACTTCCTTCGCACATGCAAACTTTATGTTCTTCTCATCAGAAAGAAAATATAGTTCTCATTTAATAAGAAGGTTTGTTATTTTTATGATCTTAGAAGACTCTGAGAAGAATTGGTAAAATCTCATTATAATTCAATCAAAATGTCTTAGCATTTCCCATCTTTAGTATAAAAGTTTGCAGGTGATTTTCATACTCCATCACAGTTACATGGTCTAGTGCATCTTAGAGTATTTAGAAATTATCAAAGGTGACCTTTCTCGATGAAAACATCTGAGCAAATTTTTCACATAAGCTGTTAAAGTGTCATGATATGGAATTTCTTTTTGGTTCTCACCTTTTTGAAGTACAAATATTATTATTATTCCCCAGTGAAACAATTAACTATTCTAGTGTTCTACTATTTTACAGTGCCTATTAACAAGAAGTCTTCTTAGATAGAGGAAGCTAACACATTTTCTAATCCAAGTTCCCAAAATCTAGGTTAGTAGACAGAAAGAACTTTGGGTTTGTCTTACTTTTCCTCTTCTTGTTTTTTGGTAAAGTAACTTTCCATCATGTACTTACTATATCTCTTTCACTGGATTAAGAGTAGCTGAGAAGTAGCTATGATTTTTAGCAAGATCCATTGATAGCAATGGATCCCTTGGATTGTACTGGTGCTTATGGTTAAATCACATCTAATGTAAAATTTCTAATTACATCCAGAGCTCCAGAATCAAAGCCACACATATCCAACATGCCTCGATCATCAGGGTCTGCAATGGTAAAACCATTTGATGTCATTCCACAAACAATCAATTTGGCTGGAATACCCATTTTCTGTAAGGAAAGATCAAAATAATATTTAAAAATTACATTTCATTTAAAGAAAGACCAAATATTTTCTAGCATTAAAATATGTTAAAATTTTATATTATAGTTTTTTAATTACTAGTTCCCCACTGTTGTTGTGTACCATTGAGTTGGAACCAAAATATAGCTGACCCTCTAGCAGATTTTCAGAGGTTGTTAACTTAAGGAAAGAGATTGTCTATCCTTCACCCACAGAGCTGCTGGTGGATTCGAATGGCGTTGTCTTAAGGATTGCAATGCAGTTTTTTACCACTAGGGCACCAATGGCAATCCCCCCGTTGTTGTAGTTGTTTTGTTAAGTGTTATTGAGTCGTACGCTACTCATAGCGACCCTATGAACGAAAATCCTCGACACTTGTGTGCGTGACTTTCATCCTTTCCCCAGGTTCACAGGGTTTCTGGAGGTGAGCAATTTATAGAAGTGGATGCCACTCCTGCTGCCAAGCTAGTCTCTACAAAATCTGTCATCTTTTAGGGTAGAGTGTTCCATCAGCAGCATTGGGACTTGTTCTGTCAGGGTATTCTCAGAAGTAAAAATTTTCAACCAACACATCAAGCACTAGGAAAGTGAGTATTAGCATATACATTGTTGTTGTTATGTGCCGACGAGTCGCTTGCAACTCATAGTGACCCTATGTACAACAAACCTAAACTCTGCTCTGTCCTGTGCCAATAGCACTGTCTCTGACAGTCCCATCCCGATTACCCCAGTCACTGAATCAATCCACTTCATAGAGGGCCTTCCCCTTCTGAGCTGTCCGTCCACCCTCCCCAGCATGATGTCCTTCTCCAAGGACCGGCCTCTTCTTACAATATGTCCAAAGTATGTTAGACGGAGCCTCAGAATCCTTGCCTCCAAAGAGCCACCCGGTTTAACCCTTTCCAGGATGAATCTGTTTGTTTTCCTAGCAGTCCATGGTATTCTCAATACTCTTCTCCAGCACCACAGCTCAAAGGCATCAATTCTCCTTCTGTCCTCCTTGGTTATTGTCCAACTCTCTGATGCATAACAAGTGATTGGGAAGACCATGGCCTGTATCAGACGCACCTTAGTCTCCAGAGAAACACCACTGCTCTTCAGTACTTTGGAGAGGTTCCTAACAGCAGACTTTCCCACGGCAATGCGCCTTTTCATTTACTGGCTACTGGTGCCAAAAGTGTTGACTGTGGAGCCAAACAAACTAAAGCTGTGAACAATCTCAATCTCTTCACCATCTATCCTGATGCTTCCAATTGGCCCAGTGGTGAGAATCTGTCTTTTTGACATTGAGCCCCAATTCATATCGGAGGCTGCAGTCCTTGAACCTCTGCAGGAAGCACTTCAGGTCCTCGTCAGTTTCAGCAAGCAGGGTAGTGTCATCTGTATTCTTTGGATTTGTCAATTTAGCCTGTGATTTTGATATGTGAACAGTATTTACATGTTCCATGTGAGAACCTGTACTGAAATGGCAATTTAAGGTTAAGAGAAGTCCGTTTCATATTTTCAGATGTCCTGGGAAAAATCAATGTTAAACTTATAATTTAAGGTTAATTCAATTTTGAGAAAAATAATGACTGTGTACTATGTCAGACATGTTTTAATATTTATTTATTATAACCATCACAAACATAAGTAATATTACTACCATTTATAGTGAGTAATTTGCTCATGCTCACAGTGGTAAAAGAGATGGACTCAGGACTGGGAACCTAGGCTGTCTTGACTCCAAAATCTATTGTTTATTCTTGCTTAGTAAACTCAAACCTGCTTCTGAGTCTTCTGGAAAGCTTGTTAAAATAAACTTTGCTAAGTCTCATTAGTAGTTCCTGTTTCAGCAGTACTTTAATGGTTCCCAGAAATTTGCAGTTCTAAAAAGGTTTCAGGTGATACTAAGGTTGTTGGAAGAACCATATGAAAGGCTACTACTCTGCAGCAGTAAGTCCCTTTTCTGCTTACAGTCACATTTCAAGTATATTCCCCTACATTCAAGCGTTCTATAACCCATGAGGGCTAATGAGTATTATATTGGACAGTACAGATAATAGAACATCTCTATAATTTCACAAAGTCCTATTGGGGAGTACTGACTAGGAAACAGAAATATCTACATAACATAAGGTATAGCTTTTTATTAAGTTTTTCAGTTACAAATCTTTCATTTTTCAAAAGGTACTTCAAATCACCAAAATATTTAAAGTATTACTAACAAAACAAAGCACTCCATAGCCTGCACTATCCTTACAGATCGTTTCTGTAAGCCCACTGCAGTCACTGTGTCAATCCATTTTACAAGGGTCTGTCTCTATTTTACTGACTCTACTTTACCAATCATGATAATGTCTCTCTCAAGGGACTCCTTGCCTCCCAGTCCCAATAATACACCCAAAGAATATGAGATAAAGTCCTTCCATTTTTGCTTTCAAGGAGCATTCTGGTGGTATCTTTAAAACAGATTTGTTTGCTGTTGTTCACAGTATATTCACTATTCTTTGCCAACATCATAATTCAAACATGTAAATTTTGGTGGACACAGAACAATTCCTGGAAGCAGCCTATGATCAGGAACCAATGGTGATGAAGGAAGAAATTCAAACGGCACTGAAAGAATTAGCAAGAAATAAGGCCCCAAGAATTGATGGGATACCAACTGAAATATTTCAACAAACAGATAATGCTGTAGGGGTGCTCATCAAGCTATGGCAGGAAATTTGGGGGGCACTTAGCTGGCCAACCAACTGGAAGAGATTGCTACTTGTTCCCATTCCTAAAAAGGTGAGTCAAAAGAATGTGAAAATTACTGAACAATTTAATATTATATGCAAGTAAAATCTTGCTGAAGATAATTTAAAAATGGCTAGAATAGTACACTGAAAGAGAACTAGAAATTCAGGCTGGATTTAGAAGCTGAGGTACCAAAGATATTATTGTTGATGCCAGGTGAATCGTCACTGAAAGTGGAGAATACCTTAAGAATGTCTGTTTGTGTTTTATTGACTATAAAAAGGCATTTGTGTGGATAGTAACAAATAATGGCAGACAGTGAGAACATACTGGAAAAGCTTGAAATCTAGCAAATCTCAGATTTGCTCATCTCTAAATCTTGAAAGGCTTCATTTTAAAGTTTGCTCAGTATACAGCCTTAATAAATACGATGAAAGTACATAAGCCCAAGTTATACCTTTCCCAATTTAAAACCTTGTAGTAGTATTCCTTTATTCTGTTCAAATGACTGGTCTTTTTTCCTATGTACAGGTTCTGCATGAGCACAATTAAGTGTTAAGGAATTCCCATTCTTCTCAATGTTATCATAACAAAATATAATTTGTAATGATCAGCCTAGTCAACTGACTCTTCATAGTCAATAAGACACACATAAATATCTTTCTGGTAGTCTCTGTTTCTAGTCAAGACCCATATCGACATCAGCAGTAATATCGTTCATTCTATATTCTCTTCCATATGCACCCTGAATTTCTGGCAGCTCCTTGTCTCTGTAGTGTTGTAATGGTATCTGAATTATTTTCAGCAAGCTTTTATTCATGTGTGGTATCAATATTGTTTGTTATTTTCTATATGGATAATTTTTCTGTGAAATCGGTACAAATAGGGATCTCTCCAGTCAGTTAATCAGGCAGGCATCTTTCAAATTTCTTGGCATTGATAAATAAGTATGTCTAAGACTATCTCCGGTTTGTCCTGGAAAGGGTTAAACTGGGTGGCTCCTTGGAGGCAAGGATTCTGAGGCTCCATCTAACATACTTTGGACATGCTGTGAGGAGAGACCGGTCCTTGGCGAAGGACATCATGCTTGGGAGAGTGGAGGGACAGCACAGGAGGGGAAGGCCCTCTATGAGGTGGATTGATTCAGTGACTGGGATAATTGGGATGGGAGTGTCAGAGACAGTGCGATTGGCACGGGACAGAGCAGAGTTTAGGGCTGTTGTACACAGGGTCGCTATGAGTCGCAAGCGACTTGACGGCACATAACAACAACAAACAAAGACTATCTCCATTTGTTGAAACATCTCAATTGGTATTCCACCAATTCTAAGAGACTTGTTTTTTGTCAATGCCTTCACTGCAGCTTGGACTTCTTCCTTTAGTAGCATTAGTTCTGGACTATATGTTACCTTCAGAAATGGTTCATTACGGAGTGACTGTTTTGGTATCATCACTCTGTATTTCTTTAAAGTACATCCCCCACATATTCTTTCCCCACCTTTCCCCCCCCTTAGATTATTTTATACTAGTTTATTTACAAAGTTTGTATACATTGTTTTTCACCCTGGATTCTTCTCATTTCTTTCACCACCGCTCACTACCCATCAAATTGTGCGGTCCTGTGATTAACCCCTCTCCTATCCTCACCTCTCTGCTCCCATTCTCCCCTCCCTTAGATCTTCATCCTTAATCCATAATAATGGTCTTATACAGTATTTGACCATATGGGACCAAGTTAGTTCACTTAGCATAATGCTCTCCAGTTCCTCCCAAGTTAGGTAGTAAAATTTACAAGATCATTGCTCCTGCGTGCTGCATAGTATTCCATTGTGTGAATGTACCACAATTTCTCAATCTATTTGATTGTAGTTGGACATTTTGGCTATTTCCATGTTCTTGCGATGGTAAAGAACACTGCTGTGAACACTGGTATACAATTATGTTGTTCCCTATTTTGTACACAGAATCCTTTATCATTGCAACTTTAAGATTTTTCTTTAGGTCCTCCAGTTTGAGAAATGCTGAGTGTGTTTTTCCCTGCTGGTCTACAGACTCTAGGTCTTTGCACATATTATCAGAATTTTTCTTTGAATTTGTCTTCTCCAATTGACCTCAGAAACCTTCTTTCAGCTCATATACTTTCGCATTTCTTCCATTTATAAAGCTTAGCTACTCTATGTTCCAGAGCAAGTTTCAGAGTTCCTATTTTTAGTCTTTTTGTTCTTTCTTATCTTTTTATTGACCTTTTTGCTTTCTTCATGTACAATATCATCTTACAATTCAAGTCTTTGGGTATTAGTGTTCAATGAGCTATATCCATTATATCTACTTTTGAGATGGTCTCTAAATTTAGGTAGGTTATACTTCAGTTTTTTTTCAGACTGGTTTTCATTTTCTTCAGTTGAACTTGAATTTGTATGTTATCAACTGATTGAATTTTTTTCCCCCAGGGAACCCGTATTCTTGTTCTGACAGCTTATGTTGCGTTTTTCCCATTATTGTTTTCCATGGATGCAGTCCATTTGGTATCTCTGTACTCTAATGGGCAAGGAACGAATATAAATAAGTTAAAATACCTACTTATGTTATTTGCATAGGTTAGTATTAGATATATCTATCGGTAGAGGTGGTGGGAAAAAACTCATTTTAATGTGGCAAATACTTTTTTTTATTTTAAGTTCTCCTGCATTCATGATTGGCAATGGATGCAGAAGTTTTAACTAGGAATATTTTCTTTTTAAAAAGAATAGCAGGTACTTGGTGGCCTAGTGGTAAAGAACAGCACTGAGATTCCAAAGGCACGCAGTTCAAATCCACCAGCTGTTCCCCAGAAGGATGGACAGCTCCTTTTGTATGAAACCCTCTGAAAATCCTTTGAAGGTCAGCTTTAGGTCAGTTCCACCTCAATAGCATGACCACAAAAAGGGTGAGAAAAAAAAATTACTAAAATTAATTTTACCTTCCGATAGTCCCTTAGAGCAACAGCAGGATGAACACTTCCAGCAAAGGTCTCATTATCAGTGAATACAATGAAGACATCAGCAGCTGTGTTTGTTTTCTGAGCCCAGATCATTGGAAGAGAACAATCAGTTCCACCTGCTGGGATCTAACACAGAACAAGAAGATTTTTGTAAATAACTAAGCTTTTCTGTAAGTAAGGTTTTTGGTTTCCATATTAGTTAACACTATTTTTCACACTATCTTTCTGTTTAAAAATAGTATATAACCTACAACCATGAGAAGAGAAAATAGATGAGTGGGATCTTCTAAGACTCAAATCCCTATGCACATCCAAAAACTTCTCCAACAAGGTAAAAAAGGGAAGCCACAGACTGGGAAAAGTATTTGGTAAAGACATATCAGATAAGGGACTTATAGCCAGAATTTAGAAAGTACTTGAGTACCACAATAAGATAAGGGTAAATGATTCAATAGAAAAATGGGCACAGGATATGAACAGACACTTCACCAAAGAAGACATTCAGATGGCTAACAAGCACATGAAAAAATGTTCAAAATCCCTAGCTCTAAGAGATATGCAAATTAAAACAACTATGAGATATCATCTCACCCCAGTCAGAATAGCAAAATTTAACAGAACAACAAGAAACAAATGCTGGTGAGGTTGTAGAGAAACTGGGACCCTTATTCACTGTTGGTGGAAGTGTAAAATGGTGCAGCCACTGTGGAAGGCGGTATGGCACTTTCTCAAAAAGTTGGAAATAGAAATACCATTTGACCCAGCAATTCCAGTACTGGGAATATACCTCAAAGAGACCATAACTGACATCTAAGCAGATATATGCACACCCATGTTTATTGCAGCTTTGTTCACAATAGCAAGGAGTTGGAAACAGCCTAAGTGCCCATCAACAAATGAATGGATAGAGAAGCTGTGGTATATTCACACAATGGAATATTACGCTGCATTGAAAAACAAGGAACTCATAAAATATTATTCAAAATGGGTGACTCTGGAGGACATTATACTGAGTGAAGCATCTCAGTCACAAAGGGACAAATACTGCATGGTGCCACTGTAAAACAGGACTGATATCGGGGTTGGGGGGAGACTGAGAAAGATGGGTTAAAAAATGTATACTGCATTGAGACAGATAAGGGAGAAAACTGTTTCCGAGGGATAAGTGATTAAGTGTTTTTGTCATGACAGGAGTCCAGAGTGAAGGCTGCATAGTGGAGTGGACCTGGGGGAGGGTTTGTAAAACAATAAGAGAATTTTTCTTTAACTTTTCCAAGAGGGTAGTGTACTGGGGGGAAGGTTGGGAGGGAAGATAAGTGCAACAATGAATGAATGGAAACCCAAAGTCTCTAAATTTTCATTGAAATGAATAATAATTTTTTAAAATAAAGGCCTTCTTGAAGATTGTATATGCTTTCTTGATTTTGTTTCTCCTGAAAAAATGAAGATAAAACAATTCTTACAAAATGTATATTACGTAAATATAACAAACTAGTTTTTACCTGATTCATAGTCATTAGAACCTCTTGTAAAGTCATATCTGCAGTAACTTGACATGGTACCATTTCATCTGAAAAAGCAACTATGTAAGAATCTTTTTCTGTCCGTGTGACAACCTGAAAAATTCAATAATAGTAATTTTCAGCAAGTTCTGAGGAAATGAATATATAATGCATTGAGTGAATCCTGTAACAACTATAACTTAATGGACCTGCCTTGCTTTACCAGATCATGCAAGCTTTCAGCCTTTGACATGTGCAGTCTTACTTACCACCTTTCATTCATTTAAGGATATCTGGTGGCCTAATGGGTAAAGAGTTGTTATGCTGCCGAACTGAAAGCAGGCAGTCTGAGTCCAAGTGAGAAAGACAGGTAATCTCCTCCCATGAAGTTCAGAGGCTCTGGAGGTGAGCTGAGTTAGTTTTGACTCAATGACATTGAGTGAATGATCATTCAATTTCACAGAAAATATGAGGTTTTCATCTATGAGCAGTTTCCTCTTTATAAAGGTTCAGATACACAAGTTTTACTATATCCATAAACCCACAGCTCTAAGAGAAATACTCTATGACTTTTACTGTATTATTAAACCTGTATTATCCAATTTTGGAGTTGTATGTAATGGTAGTAAAATTTTCCAAGTATTTACCACAAAGAAACTAGTTTCTACAATTATTCTTTGAAGTTAAATGAATATATATCCATCTTCTCAGTTTATTAAATAAGGACAAGTGGCAAAGAAGAAAACTTAAGCAGCTTGCTTCTGATTTATTTGCTATCAGTGACAGAACTAAAGTTTTTGGATTGATCTTTGATCTTTTTAACTTTATAGTCTGCAATTTTTTCCTAAGCATTATCTGCTTTCTTAAAAATACTATAAATATATATATATTTTAGTTTTTGCCTATTAAGCTGTCTTTTATTTATTTATTTTCTTTCACCTGTTCTTGGGTGATGATTTTTGTTATTTCCATTCAAAAAACTTGATAACTTCCTAATTTGAGTTCTAACATTTATAAAAGAGTACATTAAAGGTTCAAAACAAAGTTCAACTTAAGAAATCTTACTCTCAATGAGTTCTTTATATGCTTTGTTTCTCCAGATTTCAACTTACATTAATATTATGAAATTTAGTCAATTCAATAAATAAATGAGTTCATGGAACAAAAGTTATAGTTGTGTATTCCCTTTTTTTATTGATTTGCTTACAGAGTTTGGTATACATTGTGTTTCACATTATTCTTCATTCACACTGTGTTTCATACAATCATTCTCATGTATGATATTTCATAAAATCAATCACCACTGGACCTTGCCCATCATAACTCTGTCTTTTGGCTTGGATCCTTCCCCTTTTCTTGCCTCCCTCCCTCAAACTGTGCAACACTGTGGTTTTAGTAGGGGCAAGTAATTTTTTTGTTGTAAAAATTTTCTATTCTTAACAATTCTTTAATAATGCTTTTTACAATATACTTAATAATACAGTTTAAAAATTGATTTTCAGCATTAGAAGGCTAGAATATTTGCCAAATATATGTGCCAACGCTAGAGAAACAAAAATAAGTGACAATTACTGATCATACCTAACGTTATAGTTTTGAACCATTCTAAGCATACTTTCAGAATAGAAAAACTGCTAGAATTTCTTAGTTTTCTCACCATGCACATTGCTGCAGCAACTGCACTAGCATTGAGTATGCTACCCAAAACTCTTTGGTTCATAGAAGCACTGACATCAACAGCTAGCAAGAAACGCTTTCCAGTTGGCTCAACCGTCTAAAGTAGGAAACAAAGAAAAACAATCATTAAATGCAATGACTGAAATTAGAAGTAGACTGAACTTTTAACAAATCATATGTGTTAAGCACTTTAACGTAGAAGACTCATTTTTTGACTGAATTGTTTCAACATACTTTCTTATAGTGAAATCAAACAAAATAACCTAGTTAATGATTTTATTTTAAGGAATCATCTACACACACAACAGTCTTTTTAAAAGTCTTTTCATATATGTAGAGCAAGAACTTCTAATAAGAAATTTTTAAAACAACAACAAAAAAATAACTTGGCTTTGAAATGGAATCTCTAGTCCTAAAAGACAAAATAATAAAACCCCTCCACAAAAACATACAAATCCCCCCAATTAAAAAAAAAATTAAAAAAAATCCACTTCTTATCAAAACAGAGGACATTTATTTCTTAAGAAAAACAAAAGAGAGAAGACTCTACAGGAACGAAAACTTTTAAACCTGGCAATTAAAAACGGTAATTATCACACTCATCAATTTGTTGTTGTTGTTGTCATATGCCATCTAGTCGCTTGCAACTCATAGCGACCCTCTAAACCCTGCTCTATCCTGTGCCAATCTCCCTACCTCTGACACACCCATCCCGATTACTCCAGTCACTGAATCAATCCACCTCACAGAGGGTCTTCCCCTTCTGCGCCATCCCTCCACCCTCCCAAGCATGATGTCCCTCTCCAAGGACCTCTTCCTCCTTACATGATGTCCGAAGTAAGTTAGACGAAGCCTCAGAATCCTTGCCTCCAAGGAGCAACCCTCTCCAGAGTGAATGTGTTTGTTTTCTTGGCAGTCCATGGTACATTCAATACTCTTCTCCAGCACCACAGCTCAAAGGCTTCTATCCTCCCTAGTCATTGTCCAACTCTCTGATGCATAACAAGTGACTGCAAAGACCATAGCCTGTATGAGATGCACCTTAGTCTCCAGAGTGACACCATTGCTCTTCAGTACCCTGGAGAGGTTCCTAACAGCAGACTTGCCCATCGCAATACATTTTTTGATTTCCTGGATACTGGTGCCAAGAGTGTTGACCGTGGAGCCAAGCAGACTAAAGTCGTTAACAATCTCTTCACCATCCATCCTGATGCTGCCAATTGGCCCAGTGGTGAGAATCATTGTCTTCTTTACATTGAGCTTCAAACCATATTGAAGGCTGCAGTCCTTGACCCTCTGCAGCAAGCATTTCAGATCCTCCTCAGTTTCAGCAAGCAGGGTTGTGTCATCTGCATAACGCAGATTGTTAATAGATCTTCCACCAATCCTGATGCCACACTTCTTACAGAGCCCAGCCTCCCAGATAATCTGTTCTGCATACAGGTTGAAAAGGTATGGAGATATGACACATCCCTGGCGTACGCCTTTCCCAATTTTGAACCATGCAGTGTTCTTTGCTCTGTTCTGACAACTGCCTCTTGGTCCAAGTATAGGTTTCGCATTAGCACGATTAAATGTTCTGGGATTCCCATTCTTCTCAGAGTCGACCACAGTTTGTTATGATCCACACAGTCAAACGCCTTTGCATAATCAATGAAACACAGAAATTCTTCTGGTATTTCCGGCTTTCAGCTATTTGTAAGATTCATTATATATACCCATAAGGGAGTTCTGGTGGCCTAGTGCCTAAAGGGGTTGTACTTCTAACCCAAAGGCAGCTGGTTCAATTCCACCAGTGGCTTCATAGGAGAATGAGGGGCAATCTCCATCAGTGCAATTTACAGTCTCTGAAAACCTTTTGGGAAAATCAGCGATGCCTTGGTTCTGACTCAACAGCACATAACAACAACAACAGTAACAGCAACAAATATCTATAGTTTATTAATTTCTTAATTATTTGCTATTTCACATTTACAGCAATAGTAAAAAATCCGCTCTCCAATTACTTTTGAATTGATGGTAAATGTTTAGTAGTACAATGTGAAATACAAGGTGAGGTATAAAGTGAACAGTAAAACTGGTGTAATGGCTAAAGCTATTTATCAACTTGACTGAGCCATAATTTTGGCACTTACATAGTGATGTCATCATCCTCCATTTTATTATGTGATCTGATCATCCATTTTACAGAATGCTTATATTTACTTTCATGATCTAATATGTAGAACTAGAAACATTGGTAAGAAGTAGATGCATTTATAAGAACTAAAGAAAACAAGTAAACATCTAACCCAAAATAGTTTTAATTATTAATACAAAATTAAAATATTTTATATAATATAAAATTAAATCATTACCTTAAATGTTTTGTAAAAAGCATCATCTAATGCTTTCAAGATTTCATTATCAGGGTGCCACTTCAGTTTTCCTTTGAGTCCATGTCCTGTTTTGTAAGTTTCTAGTGCAAGTAAAACATGAAATGGATGTATGCGTGCCTAGAAACATGACAACAGAAAACAAATGCAAAATTTAAGTTAAAACAGCAGCAATTATGTATCTTTTTGGGTTTTCATCTTCTTGATTTTACATGAAAACAGCTTTCAAGAAAATAACGTTATATTAACCTTATATTTAAGAGTCAAATGTAATCTGGTTTCAGAAAAAGATTTCAGAACACCTAAAAATGGCATTGATTGCATTTCTAAAATTTAGAAGCAAATATTTCAAATTAGTGTTAGGTAAGAAAAGGCATTAAAAATGCTCACCTTTTTTAACAATTTTTCATTACACAGTTTTTCACATATTAAAGATACTTCTGAATTTCCTGGTTCAAGTACTGAATTGGCAGTCATCTTTCCTAGATTCCTCAGCAATGCAGTGAGAGGCATTTCTTGCAACAAAGCTTTCCATATCTATTGAGGTAATACAGATAGAAACATACAGAGTTGGTTTAATAGGTGAAATGTAATATATTCTCTAAGCCTTTAATGTGGGGTTCAGAGCACTCTGAGAACAAAACTGTGCTGTTTAAAGGGTTAGCAAATACACTAACATGTTCTCTACTAGGATAAGGAAGTGAACTATATTGAAACTAATCAGAGAAAAAAAAATTGTTAAGGCTTAACCAGAATATTTTCTAAAGCAGAATTATACTTACTGATTGCCAAGTACATTCCACATATTTGTAAAAAGTGTTCTAAATAAATAGGCTGTTCTTAATAACATAAATATTTTAAAAATTGAATATATAATTAAACATTTTTTTAAAAAAGTATATTCACATTTAACCATAAAAAACCAAAGGTGTTGTCACTGAATCAATTCTGACTCATTGTACCAGTATGTGCTAGAGGAGAACTGCTTCATGGTGTTTTTCTGGGGGAGCCCTGGTGGCCTAGAGCTGCAATCCCAAAGGCATGTGGTTCGAATCCAATAGCTGCTCTGTGAGAGAAGGATGGGCAGTTAACTGTGCTATGAACTGCCTCTGAAAATCCTCCATAGGGTCACCTATGGGTTGGTTCCAATGGTACACAACAAAAATCACCACTGCCTTCACAGACATTGACTGTAGGCTACTTTCTATGGCACTGCTGGGTGAGTTCAAACTACCACACTCAAGGGAGCAGTTGAGCACAAACCATTCAGGGGCTTATTTAATTACATATTATCATTTACTCACCTCTTTAGACTTTAAGTGATTTGTGAGAAGATGTTCTCTAACTAACCTATGTTCTTCTATTAGATGAATGACTTCGAGTTCATCTTTTGTTCGCTTCACTTTCTCTACAGCTTCCAGATATTTTAGTAATTTTTCAGTCTCCACAGAAAGTGCTTTTTCCTTATACAATTCATGGACCTCTTTCCAGCCCTTTGTGATGTATTTGGTCACAATGGCAAGTCCTTAACAAAATAAAGAATTAAAACAATAGAATTAACAGATAAAAAAGCCTGAACATGTTAACACAGAATGTATTATCTTTTATGAACATTATATGAACATTTTGGGGAAATATCCTAAATTATTTTATTAGAGAGCTGTTTTTAAATTTTTACTGAGATACCAGACATAGAAATTTTGGCAGCTAATATCTACTTTTTTTGGTTAAGAAGGACAATTGAGAGAGGCCTCCTTATTAAGGAGCACTCTGGTTCCACTTCCTCCAAGATAAATTTTTAATACTCTTTGCCAGCATTGCAATTCAAAAGCATCAATTATTTTTTAGTCTTTCTTTTTCCAACTTTCAGATGTTTAGGCAGCAACTGAAAGTAACTGAGCAGTGGCTTGGATCAGGTGTACTTTAGCATTTAAAAAACTATCCTTATTCTTTATCATTTTGAAGAGGTCCTTGACAGCAGATCTGCCAAAAGCAACACATTTTTTGATTTCTTGACTGGTTGATTGTGTACCCAAGTAAAATGAAATTGCTGACAACTTCAATCTTTACTCCACCCATCATGATGTTAACTATTGGACCAGTGGAGAAAATATCTCTTTCCTTGACATTGATATAGGATATATATATTGGAGGTTTAAGTCTTTGATTTTTTTTTCAGCTGCAAGGGCTTCATGTTTTCTTCATTTTCTGCAAATAGGGTTGTGCCATCTACATAACACAGGCTACTGATGAGTCTTCTTCCAACCTTGATGCTATTTTTGTTCATATAGTCTAGCATCTCAAATGATTTGCTCAGAATAGAGTGAATGGGTATGGAGAAAGGATAAAATCCTGACACACATCCTTCCTGATGTGATGGAACTATATACGCAGACTTCATCTGATGAACTACACAGGAATCAGAGTGACAACATCTGTGGAAAAAGTCAATGGAGCAGCTAAATATGAGCAGTCAAAACAAAGGGAGAGGCTGACTGTGGAAAAGACCATCAATTACTAATGTGCAATTCCAAACTGAAGATGAAGAAAATGAAAACAAGTCCAAGAGAACCAAAATATAGGGGAGCTCTGGTGGCCTAGTGGCAAGAAACTGAACTGCAATCCCAGAGGAACACGGTTCGAATCCACCAGATGCTCTGCCGGAGAAGGAGGCGCAATATCCTCCTGTACCAGTCAGATCTGATTTGACGGTACACGTACACAAAATTAAAAAAAAAAAACAAAACAAAAACAAAACCAAAATATAACCTTGAGTCTATTGCAACTGAATTTATAAAACATCTACCTCAAAAATAGATGTGATGCTCTGAACATTAATAGCTAAAGACTAGACAAGTTGTGGGATGATATCAAAGACATCATCTATGGAGAAAGAGAAGACTAAATGGATACCAGAAGAGACCCTGAAATTTGCATTATAATGTAGAGACCAAAACAAAGGAAAGAAATATTGAAGTAAAAGAAAATGTTCCTTTTTTAACAATGTTTTTACTCTGCTAAAACTTCCACCTGCCATGTGAGTGACCTCTGCATGACTGTCTAAAGGACAGACACCTTGAAAAGGCCTGTCTGGTGATGACCAAGGACCTAAGCAGACAGAGGACATCTTCAAAGAAGAAAACCAGTGGCACATGTTCTATGATAACTCCGACAGCTAACCAGAAAGATGCCATCTTGAAAGACAAATGAGTGTGCCTACTGAATTGCATAATCTCTCTTTTTTGGAAGATAACCCTTCCTTTCCCTCCTAAGAGTGCTGAATATGCTGCACTGCAATCCCAGAGGTACGCGGTTCAAATCCACCAGATGCTCTGCTGGAGAAGGAGGAGGCAATCTCCTCCTATGCCAGTCAGATCTGATTTGATGGTACACAGAAAAAAAAAAGAGTGCTTAATAAAATGAGTTTTTACTCAAATCCTTAACCTAACCTACAAATCTCTCCTTAGAACCTTCGCTTCTGGAGACAGATTTGGGAAGCTCATATCCTGTCTCCTATATGTTGTTATGTGCTGTTAAGTCAATTGTGACTCATAGCCAAGGCATGAATGACAAATCTGAACCTCATCCTATCCTGTCTCCCCCCTCACCAACTACAATATTCTTGAGCCCATTGTTACAATCACTATGTTAGTCTAACTTGTTAAGGGTGTGTTATTCTTATTTTGACCCTCCACCTTTCTAAGCACGATGACCTTCTGCAAGGATTGGATCCTCCTAACAACATGACCAAAGTATGTGAGATGAAGTGTCACTATCCTTGTTTCCAAGAAACCTCCTGGCTATACTTTCTCAAAGATAGACTTATTTATTCTCTTGGAAGTCCATGGGATACCCAGTACAGTTCCCTAACACCACAATTAAAAGGCATCAATTCTTCTTCATCCTTAGTCACTGTCCAACTTTCAGATGTGTAGCAAGTAAATAAAAAAAAAATATCCTGGCACACATAATAAGACATCTGCTTTTTCAATTCCAACTCATCTCCACGACAGGTTGTGCTGGAGACAGAACCATGTTTTCCTGGCAACATTCTTTTATTATTAATTTTAATGAAACTTTACAGAGATTTTGGATTTCCATTCATTGTTGTACTTTTCTACCTGCCTATCCCTCCCCTCCAGTTCGTTCTTCTCTTTGAAAAGTAAAAGTCTTTGATTGTTATACAATCCCTCCCCCCCAAGTCCACTCCACTATGCAGCCTTCATTCTGGACTCCTGTCATGACAATACCTAATCATATATATCTTTTTAAACAGTTCTCTCTCTCATCTGTTTGAATGCAGTATACATAATTTATCCGATCTTTCTAGTCTTTCTCCCAACCCCATGCCAGTCCCGTTTTACAACACTGGCACTAAGCAGTATTTGTCCTTTTGTGACTGAGATATTTCACTCAGCATATGTCCTCCAGGATCATCTGTTGAATAATATTTCATGAGTTCCTTGTTTTTCAATGCAGCGTAGTAGTCCATTGTGTGAATATACAACAGCTTCTCTTTCCATTTGTTTGTTGATGGGCACTTAGGTTGTTTCCAACTCCTTGCTATTGTGAACAAAGCTGTGATAAACATGGGTGTGCATATATCTATTTGGGTGGCAGTTATGGTATCTTTGGGGTATATTCCCAGTAGTGGAATTGCTGGGTCAAATGGTATTTCTATTTGTAACTTTTTGAGAAAGTGCCATACTGCCTTCCATAGTGGCTGCACCATTTTACACTTCCACCAACAGTGAATCTCTCTCCACAACCTCGCCAGCATTTGTTGTTTGCTGTTCTGTTAAATTTTGCTATTCTGACTGGGGTGAGATGATATCTCATAGTTGTTTTAATTTGCATCTCTCTTAGAGCTAGGGATTTTTAACATTTCTTCATGTGTTTGTTGGCCATTTGAATGTCTTCTTTGGTGACATGTCTGTTCAAATTCTTTGCCCATTTTTCAATTGGGTTGTTTACCTTGATCTTGTTGTAGTGCTTGAGTATTTTATAAATTCTAGATATAAGTCCCTTACTTGACATGTTATTACCAAATACTTTTTCCCAGTCTTCCTTTTTTACCCTTTTGGAGAAGTTTTTGGATGTGCCATAGAGATTTGATTCTTAGAGGGTCCCATTCATTTATTTTATCCTCTCCTGGTTGTAGATTTTTCAGGATGCTTGGAAGACTGTTGATGTTGTGGATTAGGATGTCTACAGTTCTTTCAAGCTTTTCTTTAATAAAGTTTATAGTCCTTGGTTTTAGTCCTAGGTCCATGATCCACCTTGAGTTGGTTTTGTGTATGGAATGAGGTGTGGATCTTGCTTGAGTCTTCTGTAGATATTTTTCCAATTTTGCCAACCCTGGTAACATTCTTATTTTTAAAATGCTGGCAAAGAATTTCCCCACATAAAACATCACCAGAAGGAGCTCTGGTGGCATAGTGTAAGAAGTGGCGCTGCAAACTTGAAGGCACAGAGTTTGAATCCACTAGCTGCTCTGTGGGAGAAGGATGGGCAGCCTCCTCCCTTGTGATTAACTGCCTCTGAAAACCTGCTGGAGGCTCTGACCTCTGTTACAAATTCTTTTATTCAAAGTCAGAACTAACTGAGGAGCTTCTAGACTATTAGAACTATGTCACCTTCCAGATTTTGACAGAAAATCTTATTATTGCCCAAAATAAGTTTTCATGTAAGCATGTCTTCTAAAAAAATCTACTAGCTGCTCCAAAGAAGAGCGACGGGTAATTTTCCAATTTCCTTCTGTGCAAGTAAAATTTATAGCCTCTGAAAATCTAGAGGGTCAATTATGAGTCAATTCTGACTTGACGGTATATGACAACTACAACATATAAAGACTGCACATTATTAGGACATTAGAGTATTACATATTTGCAGCTTACTTAGAGTTTGTTTCAGAATTCTTTTTAGTCTGAAAAGCTTGTTACTATGTTGCTAGATGACACAGAGTTGGTCGGCTCTGATTCTTAGCAACTCTATGTACAACGCAATTAAATACTGCCAGGTCTTACAGCACCCTTAATTACTGCTGTCCTTAAGCCTACTGCTGTAGTCACTGTATCAATCCATTTCATTAAGGGTTGTCTCTTTTATTCCTGACTCTCTACTTTACTAAGCATGATGTCTTTTTCCAGGACTGCATCTTCCTATGACCAAATCCAAAGTGTGTGACATGGACTCTCACCATATCTGCTTTTGAAGGATCATCCTCACAGCACTTCTTTCAAGACAGATTTTTTTTTTTATTGTTTTGGCATTCCATGGTTTATTAAAAATTCTCCACCAGCTTTTTTCTGGTCACTGTGGTGCTAAGAACCATGAGGAGCAAAGTCTCCAACAACACCCTCTATGAGGCAGTGCAGGAGCCTGGCATGGTAACCAGTGTGAATGCACAAAGATATCTGAAACAGTGAAGCTGCAAAGCAGTCTGAAGAACTATGACCCTCGGAAGGACAAATGCTTCTTGGGGAACCATCAGGCTTATGTCTGCCTCATGCCTGAAGTTTGCAG